GCGCTTGCCGCCACAGGGTCGAGCTGCAGGGCAAGGTCCGGCATCCGACGCGAGGCTGGACGTGGCGGACGACTCTGGCCGGGGCTTACCTACCCAGCTGGCGCCGCCTGCTGGCCTCGGTGGCCGGCCCAGACGCCCCTCAGAGTGCTTTCGGGCGCTCGACCCAGGATGACCTCCAGGCTCGGGCTCACGCGCTGGCAAGCGCGGCTGGGGTCGCCGAGCCCCGCGGAGTCACGGCGCCGATCTGCCCGCAGCGCTTTCGGCTCCCCTGGAGGCCAGGGTGGGCCACCGCGCTCGACCCGCGCCCGCGCAGCCGCTGACGTGGCGGTTGCGCCAGCGCCGGCTCAGCCGCGGTCGCACTGGCAGCCGCGGGCAACGGCTGGCGTCGGTGCCCGCGAGGCAGACGTCGAGGCAGGCGCCGACTCAGCCGTGCTGACGCCCAGGCGTGCAGGCCGGAGCCAACGTGACCCTGTCCCTCGTCCAGTGGCCGTGGCCGCCCGGCGCCGCCGAGCGCAGGCTGCCGCGCGTGGAGACGTCGCTGCTAGTCAGCGACAGGCCGCCCCTGGAGAGTACCTCCGCCTGGCCTCGCTGCGGCCAGCCACGGTCGACAGCTACACGTCCGCCGTGATCGAGCTGACCGACTACGCCAATCGCCGGGGATTGCTGCTGACCACGCCGGAGCTGGCAGACGAGACGCTCAACTTGTACTTCGAAGACTTGTTCTTTGCAGGTGAGCCCCAGTACCTGGCTCGAAACGCGTTGCATGGGCTCTGCAAAGTTCGAGGATGGTCTGCTAGCCGACCTCGCTTCCATAAGGCCAAAGATGCCCTGACTGGTTGGGCGGCGAAACTGCCGGCTACGCCACGAGAGCCGCCACCGTTCGAAGCCGTCCAGCTGACCTGTGCCGTGCTCGACAACGGGACCACGACCGACCTGCTGGCGTGCCTGGCCTCCGTGACCGGGTTCGACATGCACTTCCGGCCAGGCGAGTTGCTTGCCATCAAGCCAGAGCACGTCTTCGGCTCTCGTACGTCGGGCAGGGCTTCTGACATCACCGTCGTCGTAGCACCGCTTGGCGACGACAAGCCAGCCAAGAACAAAGATTTCGACTGTACGGTGAAGGCCGGCACTGACCTGCCAGTTCGCCGAGTCGTTCCCGAGATTCTCTCTAGGCTGCGAGCCCGTGCCAGACGTCAGAAGCTGCCAACTCTGTTCCACCCTCTTTCCCTTCCTCTGTTTGAAAAGACTTTGAAACAGGCCGCCCACTCAGCAGGAGTTGGTGATCTCCTGTCAGTTCCTCACCAGTTGCGCCACGGAGGGCCCTCGCACGACGCTCTGAACAAAATCCGACCGATCGAGGCCATCCAGCAGCGCGGGCGCTGGCGCGCCCGAGAGAGTGTTCGTATATATGAAAAGCACGGGTCTGCCCTTCGTCAGAGGTCGAAGCTCACTGAACTGCAGATCTCGTCAGCTGCCCGTTTTACTGACTCGACAGTTCGTGACATCCTCAGGCGCGTGTGCGCCAACTAGTCTTGTCTCTTCGCCCCAGCCTCGGATTTAAACAGTGATAATGATTTATACCCACCCGCCCTCCCGAAGGGCATTTGACGATGGGGATGGGACGCAAATGTGCTCTGTGTGTGTGTGGCAATTTTTGGTGATTGCACTTAGCCGCAGAAGTTGTTCCACTTCCACGGCTCGAGTTTTTAGAGTACCACCGTGTGTCCCACGGCGCTTGCCTGATGAAAAAGGTTGATGACCCCTCGTCTCTCGGTTTAATCTGTGCGCTGTCGCTGTTTCCGCAGACCCCATGGGGTGGCCACGCCCTTATGATAGGAATGATTTGTCTCTGACTCGTTTTCCTAAGTGCGAGTGGCCTCGGGAGTTTCTGAGCAGTGGAGCCGCGTCCGTCTCGTTCGCTGCTCCTGCTGCTGCTCTCTCCCTCTGCTCCGAAACCGCTCCTGCTCAAGCTCCCACCCACCGTCCCCCACACACCACGCAAATGTACTGTGTGTGTGTGGCAATTTTTGGTGATTGCACTTAGCCGCAGAAGTTGTTCCACTTCCACGGCTCGAGTTTTTAGAGTACCACCGTGTGTCCCACGGCGCTTGCCTGATGAAAAAGGTTGATGACCCCTCGTCTCTCGGTTTAATCTGTGCGCTGTCGCTGTTTCCGCAGACCCCATGGGGTGGCCACGCCCTTATGATAGGAACATATGTATATATATATATATATATATTAAGAAAAAAGTCTGGGGACGATTTGGTTTACTGTTTTGGATCATTGTTGGTCAGGTTTTGGCTATTTTTGTGTTCCGTCCAACATCCGCCCATAGGGGGATATGCCCGACCTAACGCGACGGCGTGGAGCCCCTCCGGGGCTCCCCATCTGGCCGAGGCCCCAGATCTCCGGCGACACGGGCAACTCGCGCAGCAAGGGTGAGCAACTCAGACCCGTGCACCCTTCCCCTTCGGCCCCTCCCTGGCCGCCCTCGCTGGCCGCGCCCCGCTCGCAGAGCGTCCACATGGCCGCGGGCCTCCCAGGGCCCCCCTGCATCCCTATCGTGCGCCCTTATATTTCGAGGGAGGGAAGAGCACCCCGACCCGCACAGTCGGCGTTTGCCGAACAGCCGTGGGCGCTCACTGCACAGGCCTGCCCTGTTCGATCCCTTCCCTGGGTGCGTTTGCTGAGGGCTTCGCTCCTCGGGACGGTTCTTATGATTCAATATGGGAGAGGTTTTTGGATCTCGGCCTCCTCGTCCTCGCTCCTCCTCCTCGCTCCTCCTCCTCCTCCTCGCTCCTCCTCCTCGCTCCTCCTCCTCCTCCCCCTCCTCCTCCTCCCCCTCCTCCTCCTCCTCCTCGCTCCTCCTCATTATCCTCCTCCTCGCTCCTCCTCCTCCTCCTCCTCCTCCTCCTCCTCCTCCTCCTCCTCCTCCTCCTCCTCCTCCTCCTCCTCCTCCTCATCCTCCTCATCCCTCCTCGGAGCGGGGTGGTGGGGCTACGGGCTTCTCGCCTTTATGAGGGGATGCCCGAGGCTAGGTGTAATTCATCGGTCCCCAGGGGGCGCCCCCACGGCTGCGTGCCTCGAGGGGGGGTTGCCCCTAATGGGGCAGTGCGGCCCTGCCCGAGCGCAGGGGTCGCCACAGAAGGTCGACGTCTCACAAAGTCACGCCACTCAGAGTTCTATGCGTAGCACGATACAGGGTTTCACACGCCTCGGTCGAGTTGACACGCGAACTCCACAAGCCCGATCCCGATCCCGATCCTCCTCATCATCATCCTCATCCTCCTCCTCCTCCTCCTCCTCCTCCTCCTCCTCCTCCTCCTCTCCTCCTCCTCCTCCTCCTCCTCCTCCTCCCTCCTCCTCCTCCTCCTCCTCCTCCTCCTCCTCCTCCTCCTCCTCCTCCTCCTCCCTCCTCCTCCTCCTCCTGTTCCTCCTCCTCGCTCCGCTCCTCGCTCCTCGCTCCTCCTCCTCCTCATCCCCCTCCTCCTCCTCCCCCTCCTCCTCCTCCTCCTCCTCGCTCCTCCTCATCATCCTCCTCCTCGCTTCTCCTCCTCCTCCTCCTCCTCCTCCTCCTCCTCCTCCTCCTCCTCCTCCTCCTCCTCCTCCTCCTCCTCCTCCGGGGCCCGTCCTCGGGCCCCGGACCAGATCCGGATCTGGGACCAAAAGCTAACTTCCCCTGGGAAGGGGCAAAGGGGGCCGCTGGGGTCGCGCGCCGGGAAAAAACACGTCGTCGGATTCGGGAGCCGTGAGACGGGGGTCAGCCAGAGCGCCAGAATCTTGCAGGATCCTGCGAAGACCCCCTTTGGCTCACCCGGGTTTGCGAGCCGCTCGTGGCCGCGAGGCGGCCGAGCATATTGGTTGACCCGGGTTTGCGAAAACATGCGTTGCAGTTTTTGTTTCCTGCGTTGCAGTTTCTTGGTTTCCTGCTGACCCGGGGGTTCTGGATTGACCCGTGTCAGACGATCCCCGACGGATGTCTGGGTCGAGGGCGGGGAAGCGTGAGACTCAGGTACGCTGGGGATGTCTGCAGCGCGAGCCCGCGTCAAATTTCAGACCGGGCCTCGTCATTCCCAGGATGGCCGCGTCAGTCGGGGGCGGAAAAGACGGGGGTGATGACTAGGGGGGGGGGGGGGATATCATGGCGGGGGCCATGATATTTCCCCAGATTTCATGGCGCCTCTTCTTATTTCATTACGTCCTTGGCCCCCCCGCTGGGCCGCGCACGTGCCGCCGGCCATGATTTGCACCCCCCCCTCTTGGACACCCCCCTCTTTGCCGCCCCCGAGTCAGGCCAACCCGAGTCCCCCGCACCCGAGTCTTAACGTCTCTCCGACCAGGGCCCCTCCTGGGCTCCAGATCTGGCCGAGACCGGCGCACTTCGATGTTGCGCAGGACGGATGTGTGTTGGCCCAGCGTGCGGCTGCCATGCGCCAGCTCGGCTGGCAGCAGGCAGCCTGCGCGCTGGCCCTCATGAGACACCTGCGTCCTGGTGCACGGCTTCGGGGGACAGGAGCACGCTGGCGCTAACACGCCACGTGCTGAGCATCATCGGCCCGTCGCAGGGTCGCAGAGATGGCCACGCTTCGCGCGTCGCGGTCGGTGGCCCGAGCGGTTGCCCTCTTCGAGAGTGCGCAGCGCGAGGGCGCGAGGGCGCAAAGCGAGCCGCGCGTCCCGCATCGCGGGGCGCGATGCGTGACGTTACAGTCGGGGCCTTGAAGAAGGAACCCTTTTCGTTGGGGAGGGGCTCCGCGTTCCGTAAGTGTTTCACAGCTTGCCTCAGGCTTCCGTTGTGTTTGCGACGGGAAGCCGAAGGTTGACTTATGGAAAAGAGGGGCCTCGTTCCTTATTTATCACTAGGAAAAGAAACACACAGACACAATTAATCCTCGATTCCCAAAAAAATATGGGAAAATATGGGAAGTGGGGGGAAGACAAAAACACAGAAAATATGGGAAAATATGGAGAATATTTTTATTTGTGTGTATTTATTTGTGTGTCCTGGGGCCCCTTCAATTTAGGGTTCCTTAGGTAAGCGCCCCGACTGTACTCTGCCGTGGAGAGATTGCCGCGCTCTCCCGCAACGGCCGACCTCGGCACCCTCCCCCATGCCGATGGAGAAGCCGGCCGATGCCTCGGCCGGCGCCCGCCCGTGCACTTCGACGCGCTGCGGTGCTTCTTCACCTCCGCGGAGGACGAGGAGCCGCGAGCAGCGAAGGTCTCCTCCTCCTCCTCCTCCTCCTCCTCCTCCTCCTCCTCCTCCTCCTCCTCCTCCTCCTCCTCCTCCTCCTCCTCCTCCTCCTCCTCCTCCTCCGTGCCCACGCCCTCGCGGTCCGGCTGTCGGCACGCGCTCCTGCGGGTGCGCGGTCGCACGGGCACGTGCCGCGCGTGATGCGTCCGCGAAGAAGCACCCCACGTCCGCCAGGGAGGAGGAGGAGGAGGGGGAGGAGGAGGAGGAGGAGGAGGAGGAGGAGGAGGAGGAGGAGGAGGAGGCCCAGGGGCGCAGGCCGCGAGGCCGCGGATGCAGATGTGCGTCGGTGCCCCCAGGATTTCCAAGGTGGCCGTTCGCCCCCCAGAGCACCCCCTCACGAGGCCCCGGGGGGCTCGAAAAGCTAGGGACACCTGTATCCAGGAGCACCCTCAGCAGCCTTCGCATCTCTGGACCGAAGCTATGCTGTCCAAGACCTCGCTGGCAGTGAAGTCCGCTCTCTTGGCTTCGCAACACATGTGCGTGCAATTCCTGGCGTTTCGCTTCCTTCCGCCCGCTCCTGGAGGAGGATGCCCAGGAGGAGCTCGGAGTTGAAAGGACTTTCTTTCAATGCTGTTGCTCTTTGACGTTTGCTGGCGAGAGCCCTTACGTCTAGGCAGGGGCGTACGTGTTTCTCTCCCACGAAGGAGGGCGGCAACACGCACGCGGGCTTCTTCCAGTCCTGGGCACGGAGCGCGGCCGCCGCCGAGGCGGGGTAGCCGCTTGGCGCGCAGGCCACCGCCGAGGCGCCGGCGAGGGCGGCGGGGGCCGGAATAGCCGCGCCGCCGCCGAGGCGCTGGCGGCGACGGCGATGGCGACGGCGACGGCGACGGCGACGGCGACGACTGCGACGACGACGACGACGGCGACGGCGGCGACAGTGGTGGCGGCGGCGGCGGCGAGCTTGCCACCGCCGCTGGCGCTGGCGGTCGCAAGCTGCCGCGCCGCGGCATGCGCGCGGCGGCGCCCCTCTGCGACGGGATATAAAGAAAGGTGGGCGCCCGCGTTCTCGTATGATCTCCGCGGTCTGCCAGCCTCTTCACGGGCGAAGAACGGTACAAAATAAAGTGTTTCGCTGTCGGGGGCGCCTGTCCCAGGGCGGCTGGAAACTTTCTACCCTTACGGTGGCACGTCAAGGTATAATGTTTACAACCGGCCTGGGACAGGCGCCCCCGGCGACGGAAAAGTTGATGTTATACAATGTTTCACCCCTACGCTTGGGGATGTGGTTGTCGGGCGGGTTATTCGGATCTCCGCGGTTTTCCAGTCTCAGTTTGAGGTTCGAGGTTGTCGGGCGTTGTCGTCGGATGCGGCGGTTGATTCAGCAAGAAGGCGACAGCTGTTTTGGAAGAGCGGCGGCCCGCCCCAAAGCATTAGCAGCGAAGCCGAAATGTCCGACACCAATATCGGTTGCCAGCACCGAGGGGAGCACTTCCGCCACCAGCAACGCCAACATTTCAGGCACGAGCGCCCGCCTTGTGCTGGCAAGGGGACGAATTCAACGATGGAACGTATAATATGATATTGGGTGCATACCACATGCCGAAATTTGGTGGCTTTCAATTCTCACCTCACGCTCCATTATTTGCCAGCCGCGCAAATCCGTACAGCCACCGTTTCCAAAAAAGCGACGACCGTCCTCAAAATATCAGCAGCACAGTCAATTTTTCCGACACCGAGAACAGCTGCCAACACCGACGGGAGCACCAACGTTTCGGGCACGAGTGCCCGGTGGTTGTCATAAATTCAACGAATTGTGCGCTTGCGAAACCTGTAATACGAGACCAGTCGCATGTCCCATACTGAAGCTCGGCGGCTTTCACGTATCATTGAATTGTGCGCTCATGGAACTCATTGAATTGGACAATTCGTATCATTGAATTGTGCGCTCACGGAACTCATGATAAGAGATGGCGTGCATGTCGCATACCGAAATGTGTCGGCTGTCAAATTCCATTCCACGCCTCGGTTATTTCTCAGCCGTGCACGGGCGACCGCCGCTTCAAAAAAACACGCAACCGTTTAGGGAAGCACAAATTTGAAGAGGAATTGCATTACATAGCAGGCTTACTGAACCAAAAGCGACGTGCGCGCCGAGGTCAGCACGGCCTCAGGCACAAACAGGCGTAGCAACGACCGGCCGAACGACGTATCTCACGTGACAAATGCCACCGCGTCACGCCGCCGTATGATTTGTTATGATTTGATATGTTCTGTTCTGCGTAACCACGTTATGGCATGATACGTACGCTTTGCCAGGGTAGATTATGTTATGTTGCTCTTTGTGTTGCGGTTTAAGTATCGCGCCACATATTGCGGGCATAGTGGACCCCGAGCCACCCGACAGAAATTAGTTTGAAACCTTGCACGCCCTGATCGCGCGTTGCGTCACAGCACAAAAGCAGCTTGTAGTCTGGAGGCTGGTTGGCCACGAAGTCGGCGCACACCCTGGCCAAATGACGAGAATGAAATGATAAGATTTTGTCATCGACAGCCGCGTGCTTATCGTCGACGGCGAGCCTCGATTCTGGACTGCCGAATTTGGGCTGCCTCTCGTCAGCCAGATCTTTCCACTCACTCGGCGGGCTCGGCCCCGCGCCGTATTTGGCTGCACGCTGCATGCTCCGCAATTTGTACACCGAGTCCGCAGTTGGTAGATCTGCAGCACGCGCTCCTCTATCGATATGTCGCTGCATGTGCGTGCTGATTGACGCCGGATTAGTCGTCATGCTGGCTTCGACAATCTTATTGTTCTTCCTGAGTTGGGCGGCTGACACGTTTTCTTGCGATTGCCCAGCTCGGTTCGGTATGCGCATCCTCGTCGCAACTCGTAGTGGATGCTGACATCGCACTCGTTCTTATGATCATCCTCCTGTTGGCGGCACTGGCACGTCGCGCATTCCTCGATTTCCCTGTTCTGCAGCTGCCGGGACCGGAAGACTCCAACATGCACGGCTGTTTTTGCTAAATCTTGCGCGAGCACGCGCGCTCCCCCCCCATTCCTCGCGCCCCCTCCTTTTTCGCTTTCTTTTCAGAAACTTCATCAGCTTCACCCGCCAGGAGCGGGGGAGGGGGGGAGAGCAGCGAGAGAGATCAGCAACCACACATGCTGCACATCCCCCTTCAAAAAAAACAACGTTTCCAAAGTGGCGCATTGGAGGCCATACGACAAGCAGGCCCACGTGGAACGGGACCCCCGAGAAACATCGCGGAAGCTTTGCGGGAACCACGCGGCGGCGCGACGAGAGGAAGAGGAGGATGACGGGAAGGGAGGAGCATGAGGAATGCCAGGCGGGATGGCGAGGCGAAAGGCGCCCTGCAAATACGGGTCAAGCGTCGGGCAATCGTCGGATGGGCAATGTGCTCTCGCCCCTGCGCCAGCCAGGGCGGCAGCAACCGTTTCAGCAACGGGCAAGCGTTTGAGCGACCGAAATAGCGTTTCAGTGACAGGCCCACTCGTTTTGAAATAACGAGAGAAATCGCCTTATCATTGAAACGGTTGCCGGGGGCATCGGGCATGGCATCGGGTTCAGCATCGGGGTCGACGTCGGGCCGGGACTGGACAGGGGCAAACGTTGGGGTTCGACGCGGGGCCGAAGAGGGGGGCGAGGAAAAGGTTTATAGGGTTTTCGTTCCTGTGGCCATGATTCGTGACCCTGCCCTCTGTCTCTTTCTGTCTTCGTTTTCTTCGGTTCCCCTCCTACGACCGTCTGCCCGATCCATACGATCGTATGTCCTCCCATCGCATGTTTTGCAATAGTCTGTCCAACTCTGGCTCCCGCCCCCGCGGTCTCGCATTCGATTACCTCCGCGCCCTTGCATTCACTGGTTGTCCGATCCTTGCGCTTATCATTATTGCGATCGTCTCTCGTACCGCAATTCCTCTTTCCCACTAGTGTGCGATTTTCCATTTGCCGATTATTGCGCCTATCCCTTCTGACCGTTGCAATATTGTTCCCAATGTCCGTTCCGAACTTGCGCAGTTGCTTCTTGCGGCAGCAACCTTTTCAGCAACGGGCAAACGTTTCAGAAACCGAAAGAAACAGCGTTTCAGTAACAAGCGCAATCGTTTCAGTAACAAGAGAGATTTCAGCTTTGAAACTGTTGCTGTTCCCGCAAAGGCGTCGGCTCGTTGATGAGGCCACCGACGTTGGCACCGGGCTCTGCGTCGGGGTCTGCGTCGGGCCGGCGCTGGACAAGGGAGGCGTTTGGGTTCGACGCGGGACCCCAGTGTCAGAAGAGAAGGGCGAGGAGGATGTTCATGGGTTTGTTGTTCCTAGGGCCATAATTCATGATGTTGATGTCCCCATCTCCTCTGTTTTCCTCTGCTTGTTCTTCTCTTCGTTCCTCTCCTGAGAGAGACAGTCTGCCCGACTCATGAGATCGTTTGTCGTCCTTGCGATCGTTAGTCGTTCGTTTCTGCTTGTCTTGTCACTTCCCCCACATGCATTTCTTCCCCCCCCCCCTCCCCCCCCACCTGTTTCCACGCAAACCAGGCTGATCAATCACATGATGCAAATCGTCTTTCCTTTTGCACCCGTGCCGAATCATCTCCGATCCATTGAGCACACTCCTTTCCGCCCCCCTCCCCCATCTTGGCGGAGGTACTCTCGGCGTCAATGAACGTCGGCGTCCCAACCTGTGTCCACGACTGCGGGAGTCCATGAGATTTTTCAGGTTCTTGTTTGGTAGATTCCGTCGCCGTGGAAAGATTTCGATGCTCGGTTTTACATGTTCGTTTGATCGCACTTCCTGAAAGCCCAATATTGTGATGTTCTGTCGGCCTCTCGTCGATTACTCCAGATTTCGTAATAAAAGGGAGGGGGTCTGGACCCTCCAAGGCAAGCCATTTCAGACCTCCCCCGTGGGAGAGCCCTCCAAAACAGCGTCCCCAGACCCCCCCCAGGCCCTCCAAGATGGCCTGGAAGAGACCCCCCCCGAAATGAGACCCCCCTCCCTTTATTACGAAATCTGGAGTACCCTCCCCAGGATGCACAACAACGTCCAACAAACACGACGAGCATTAGGGCACCCTCCCCGAACCGACCTCTATCTTGTACCTCGGTTCGACTGTAAGGGGGGGACTGGCGCAGGCGGGAGACACATCGACCTGGAATCGGCGACACATCGACCTGGAATGGCGGCGATCTTTATTTCGAAATCTGGAGTACCTCAGCCGCCCTTGCAGCACCACCACGAGCTCGATTCAAAAGGGGGGGCGCCGCCGCTTCGCTGCCCCATGACGGGCAACCTCCATGAGTTGGTTGTGTGAATTCACTGGTTGTGTGAATTCAGGAGGAGGAGGAGGTATCCTCCTCCTCCTCCTCCTCCCTCCTCCTCCTCCTCCTCCTCCTCCTCCTCCTCCTCCTCCTCATTGGTCCGCCCTTGTCACATTGGTGGTGTGAAGTCATGTGGCCATATTGTTTGTCTTGTCGCTCCTTACTTGAAATGTTGGTCTATTTTTGATGTTCGAAAAACGCGGTGGGCAAACCTGGAAGGCGAGAGGGGAGGGAGGAAAGGATCTAGGACAACAAGAAGAGGCATACTGATAGAGATGCGGAGCTAGCAAGGGGAACGCGCAAATAATGAACATATATTTCGGAGCCGCTTCACCGTTGCATGGGTGCAATCTCGCTTGCATCGTCCCGTTGTGGCCCAGACCCCTTGCGCAGCGCTTTTTGCGCAGCGAATGCGGTTCGGTATTCTTTGGGGGTTGGTCTGGCATAGGTCCAAGCGTGCACATGCGCGAGCATGCGCATGTGCGAGCACGTGGGCGATCATGCAGAAATTCGTGGACCGCGGCGGGACGTGGAAACGGGAGAAGGGAAGACGGAAATCAGGACGATGGCAGGGAAGAAAGGGAAGAGGGAGGGCACTACATACACATTTATAATGTTTGGTAGGCCTCGTTCGTCGTATTTTGCGCGCCTTTTGGAGTGTGACCTCTGCCCTGAAGTGGACATTGTACGCGCGGCTGGGCGGTAGCAATACCGCATCATTTTGTAATTCAATGCAACCGTTCTAAATTTGTGTGTCAGTGTTCGCGAAATGCCATTGCAAATTGCTTGGTAACTTCGATTGGTCCACGTACGTTTCAAGGAATTGATAAGTCCCAGAGATGGCAGTCCAAAGCACCATTACCATTGATGTTGGCATTGATGCCGATATATCAGTTTATGACAACTTACTCGGCTTATCAAGACAGGATCTGCATGAATAGGTCGTAAGAAATCTGCACCAAAACATTTCACGACAGCGTACGTAGCATCGGGTATCATTTTCATGTGTCACCCCATTGATTTTCTTCTGCAGTTGGGCTGCTGATGAAAGTCTCCACAATGACCTGCATACATTTATCAACATATAAAGAAAAGGCTGGCATTCCAACGTGTATCCACATTGGTACACTACCACCTGTTGCGCGTTGGTTGAATGTTGCTTCCATTCAGCCAGCTCAACAAAGATGGCACCTGGAAATGTATTGAGATCAATGTCGGCGGATTGCAATACATACATACAATGGTGAAAATATTGTTTTCTTTTGAAAGTTACCAATATTTGTGTATTGATGGGTTTTTGTAACCGCGAAAATATTGCAGGGATCAGGGTGGAAGAAAAAGAACACAAAAGAAACGTGAGAGAGGATTAATGCATTTTCTCTCATCACCTTATCAGGCGCACGGGGAGTAAGTAAGCAAGTGTTTGATATTATGACGCCTTCGAATCAGTGCATAGAAATATTATTCCACAAGTGTTTCAATCACCAAAACAGCGCTTCAATAACCCACATAAATAAATCAATATCCACCCACTAGCCAGACTCAGCAATTCAATGACCACCGCCCCCCCCCCCAAAAAAAAAACGGACCCGAACCGCACGAAAAAACGGCAGCTGACCGGTTTTCCTATCACCAAGGGAAAACACAGAACGTTCGGAAAATCGACGGCAATATTATGTGTTCAAGGTCGAGCCATACGCCGGAGCGCGTGGGCAAAAAGGCGAAACCATGCGCTTGGTCTCTCCGCTTTGCGGGAGCGGCGGCGTGCCAACACAACTATTAACTAATTCGCGTCGTTATTGACCAATATCATTTTCGAGGCTTCGTTTGCGAAAATATTTGCGATGTGGCAGTGGTTGTCTTTTCTCTTCCATTCGTGATTTTTGTTGTTTGCCGTCCTCCAAACAGGCGAGAAATCATGTATTGATGTGCCGGGATCGGTTTGGACATTGCTTCGCGGCGGAAAAAAAAAACATAACTATTGTTGACGCTTCGCGTATCCCCACCAGCCCATCCAGAAACGATGCTCAGGGGAGTTGAGGTGATCAGGGAAGTCGGGGAACATGCAGAATAACAAAGGGCGGGGGAAGTTGTCACAGACCCCGAGAGGGGGAGGATGGAAGAGGAGTCGTCGTCGTCGTCGGAGGAGGAGGAGGAGGAGGAGGAGGGGGAGGGGGAAGAGGAGGAGGAGGAGGAGGAGGAGGAGGACGGAGAAGGAGGAAGAATCGGAGGAGGAGGAGGAGGAGGGGAAGGAGCTTCTTGGTGGTCTTTTGAGGGCCTCTTGGAGGGCTTTTTGGGCGCCTTGGGGCATCTTGGGCGCCTCTTGGGACCCTCTTGAGGCGCTCTGGGGAGCCTTCGGGGCGCTTTTGGGGCCATCTTGGAGGGAGTCGATCAAACAAGAGGGGGGGTTTAATTAGCGTCCCCCCTCGGAAGCCCCTAAAATCGCCTCTTGGACCCCTCTTGGAACGCTCTTGGAGTGCTCTTGGGCGCTCTTGGGGCCGTCTTGGGGCTCTTTTGGGGCTCTCTTGGGGCCCTCTTGGGCCATCTTGGAGCCATCTCCAGGCCTCGGATGGCCATCGGAAGCGAAAAGGCGAGAAAGCAAAAATCATTGATTTTCCTTAGGTTTTGGGACGATTTTGGCCTCTTCGGGGCCTCCTTGGGGAGCTGTTTGGCCACTTGGAGTTATCTTGGGGCCGTCTTTGGGCTTCTTGGAACCATCTTAGGAGCCATCGTGAGCGATCTTGCGCTATCTTGAGCCATCTTGGAGCTCATCTTGGGTTCTCTGAGGCGCTCTTGGAGCCGTCTTGGGCCATCTTGGACGCTCTAACTACCCGCGGCCCCCCCCGTCCAGGTCCAGGGGAGGGGGTAGGGGGAGGGGTAAACCCCTCCCCAAGGGGGAAGAGGGAGGGGTGGAAGAGGATCTGCTCTAGACCACCTACGCCCAGAGGGCTGGTGGGATTCCTTCTTTTGTGTTTGCACCATGCCGCAAGAGCAGTGCATTTTCACAAAATGTCAAATTCGTAACGCGTGTAGATGTAATCGATTTTCTTACACACCTTGAAATGTTGTTTTCATTGGCGCTAATACAAACACTCTTCTCGTCAAACATGCGAGGGCAACAATGAGCTCAATAACCGAACACGGGTTTCAATAACCGAACGCAGGTTTCAATAATAGTTTCACGGGTTTCACTAACAACGAATTTGGATGTCAATAATTAGGGGCGAGACCGGTCACAGTAGCGTAACAAAGGATTCAATACTTACGGCGATGTTGATTTTTGCAGTTGCTGGGGCATAGAAAGAAAGGGGGCATAGAAGGAAAAGGGCGATATGAGACTGGAGATTTTCGGTTCCGACTCCCATTTCGCCTTCCTCCGGCTCCGACTCGGATTCGCATTCCGTCTTTTTCCACTTCCGATTGCAATTCCCATTCCGTTTTTTTCCAGCTCCGGTTCCGAGTTGGAATCCACTGCCCCTCTGGTCTGATGCAGCTGTATAGGAGGGGGAACAGAGGACGGAGTGTTTACACAGTTTGGAGGAATTCGTGAATTCAGTATGGGTCGGGCTTGAAGCGCCTCGAAGAAAGCGCGCGCGCCCGAATCGCAATCATATGGCTATATGCGGACCCAGGACAGTTTGCTTCCCGTCGTCGGCCTCGCCCTTGCTCCGTTCCCCTTCCTTTCTTCCCTCCCCTGGATGATGTCGAAAGCGTCCGCGGCTCGGGCGGGGGAGAGCCCCTGATCACCTCCCTCATTATTCCTTGTTCCTCTTTGCTTCCCTGCTCCACCGTCCGTCGTCCTACCTCGTCTTCCATCCATGCTCGAAAAGCGGAGTCCCTGGTGCCGCGTGCCCGCATCAGTGGTAGATCGCCTTTTCGATATCCGAGCACAGCGGAGCAACCAAACAGAGGCGATTGACAACGTGAGCGTTCGGGGCGCACTCCAAACGCGGGCGGCACGGCCGCCGAGCACAGTCGCATCGCTAACATGTAAATTATAGGTGTCTGCGGCAAGGCCCCCCCCTTTACCAGCGCAGCGGTCTGTATGGCGACGAGGGGAGCTTTGACTGTTAAGAGGTCCGTGGCATGTGACACCTCTCGTGTTTTGGATTGCTGCGCGGCATTTTTCGGGGTCATTCGAGGCCTTTTTCGGGGCATCTTCGGGCCGTTGGGGGTCGCTTTGTTGCCGCGTTTCACCGCGGCCGCCCTGGGCCAGGGAAGCGTGTATTTGCAGCTCCCTCGGGGGCGCCCTGGGCCGGGGAAGTGTGTATTTGCATCCCCCCCTAGCTGGGCATGTCGACTTCGGTTCTGGGTTGGCAAAGTCGGGGCACCCTCGAGGTGGCGAGCGTTCACCTTTCCGGAATACACAGATCAAGGTGTGATCTGTGTACACAGTTTGTGTCTTCAACTGTGTATTTTCGTGTGTGGGCCCACTGTTTACACAGATCGTGGTGTGATCTGTGTACACAGATCTCGTTCCCATCTGTGTATTTGGAGTGTGCGCCTCGCGGGGGGTGTTGACTGGGCGGGAACTTACACGTTTTTCGTTCGGTGGTCCAGGGGGGGTGTCGTGCGCAGTCGAAATACACAGTTCGTGTTTCCAACTGTGCATCTGTCGCGCGCCGCTCGGCGGAGTGGTCACTGGGCGGGAGTTTCCGCGAGTCTCCCAGCTGGTCCACCAGGGGGCAGTTTGGGCATGCAAAGGCGCGGGGGGGTGGGGATGGTGGGCTGTGGGAAGGAAGGGGTTCGATAGGAGGGGCGGCCAAAGAGGCCAGGGATGAACCGGAATGGACGAGAGGGGAGGAAACGGGCCTAGGAGGAGCTGCATCATCGGTGTCACCATCACATGGACGAGGGGGGCGGGGAGGGGCACATGGAGGGGGCATGATGTGCACTAGGGCGTCGAGGATGGGAGGAGGGCAGGCATGTGGACGATAAGGGGAATTAATCCGGCGGAGGAGGACGACGAGGAACGACATGAATTGGCACATGGGGGGGTGACAATGTGGATGAGGGGCATGGTGAGGACCGGGGGTTATCGGAGGGGCATGAGGAGAGTGGGGCCTAAGCGAAGGGATCTTGGAAGGCGGCGGGGGATGGGGCATGAGTTTGAGGGCGGGCGCCAGCTAACGATTAGCTGAACAGTGTTCTGCGTATACGCGCACCCCCCCCCCAGAACACAGTGACCTGTTGCAGAACTTCATGATATGGGTAATCGTGCGCTTCGTGCTTCCAGGCCACAGGCTCGAGTCGACGACGCCCCTTGGCGTCGCGTTGATGCCGCCCCGATTTGCCAGACCGCATATGCACAGATAGGCATAATATGTGTTTGAACGTTTGTTTCATGACCCTCTCTATAGTAACAGACCCGCGTTGGAAACCAAGTTCCGAGTTGCTTTCTGTCTTGATTCACATTTCGTCTTCCTCCGGCTCCAATTCCAATTCTTATTTTGTTTTCCGCCACTTCCGGCTCTAACTCCCATTCTGTCTTCTTCCCGATCCGGCTCAAAACGGAACGGGAATCGGAGCCAAAACCGGAAGAAAACGAAATGAAAATCGGCATCGGAACCCGAAAGAAGCGAAATGGAATTTGGAATCAAAGTTGGAAGAAGACGGAACGGGAGCCGGAGCTGGAGCCGGAAGAAGACGGAATGGGAATCGAAGCCAAACAGGACGGGAATGGGAGCAAGAAGTAGAAGAAGGCGTGGCACAAAAATTCCGCCCGAAGGCTTGCTTTACTGCTCGCCGATCAACTCCGTGACGCCGCATTGGCCCCGGTTTTTGTCCCGGCCGCCGCTGCTGCGCCCACCTCTCGATTTTTTATTTTTTTTTGTCCTCGAAGCTGGACCGCCGCACAGTGCCACAGAGTGAGAAAGCGCGATCGCTTTCAGCGATGGGCCCGACGCGCCGGCTAAGCAGCGTCAGAGGAGGAGGAGGAGGAGGAGGAGGAGGAGGAGGAGGGGGAGGAGGAGGAGGAGGAGGAGAGGAGGAGAGGAGGAGGAGGAGGAGGAGGAGGAGGAAAGGAGGAGGAGGAGGACGAGGAGGAGGAGGAGGAGGAATAGGAATAGGAATAGGAGGAGGAGGAGGAGGAGGAGGAGGAGGAGGAAGAAGAAGAGGAGGAGGAGGAGGAGGAGGAGGAGGAAAAGGAAAAGGAAAAGGAAAAGGGAAAGGAAAAAAAGGAGGAAGGAGGGCAGGCAGATTAGACTATGTCTAAATTTGCCAGCCCAGGCGCTGCCTCCAGGAGGGTCCGCGGCAAGTCACCGTGCGGGTTCAGAGCTGCTCGCGCTATTGCTCGTTGTAGTGCCACACCAAATACCCCCCACCATCGATGTTGATATCCCAGGGCGATTCCTCTAGCCAATCGGATTACAATGTCGATGGCTTTTTGCCCCCATCTCCCATAAACCTCTGCTCCGAAACATAGTAAGCATCCCAATCCGCTTGTCGTAACCACTGCATATGTGTTGTCGTTCTCCTGTCGTGCTAACGTAAGTAGGCAGCCCCTGCGCGATTACGCTCGCCATGGGCGAACCCGCAGCGGCTTCTCTTGCGGCGCGGCGATGCAAGGCTTGCCCGGCATTTTGGTTTTTTAACACACATATATATATATATATATATATATATGCTATATATATAATATATATATATATATATATATATATATATATATTAACCATGCAGCACCCGTACACACACCTCCAAATGCAAATCGCTAAGCGGGACTGGGGTGAAACAAAAAATTCTGCATAGCCTGGGGGTGGCTCAACAAACAATCAAAATGAGGAGGAGGAGGAGGAAGAGGAGGAGGATCAGAGGACCTCCAAATCAGCCAGGCTGGGTCAAGGGAGGTCGACATGCCTGTTCGGCGCCGTTCGGACGGGTCCACTGGCACGTAGTCCGCGTATGGCAGGTGGTGTTGCAACCACATGTTTGTCCATCGACGATGTAATGCTGGTGGGACTCGATAAACGCCCTGTCTGGTTCGGCCATCAATATATTATATAATGGCTTTGGTAATACAGAATTTACATCATGTCGAAATTTGTCGAATATTCGGCGCTGCCCACGCCGCTTCCTCGTCTGCCATGGCGACGCAAAACATATACACAAAGCATAGAATGTTGAGTAATATGACGAATATGTTTTTGACAAAATTTCCGCCGAGAATTTGGTAACATTTTACCCATCCGTCCCCGCTCGCCCCCCCAAACGGATGATATAAGCTCTTTCGCGCGCCAGTGCCATAATGCAGTTCGTCGTCAATTGGCGACATTATCGACCGTGCCCACCCAAGGTTTGTCATGGCGCCGCGCCAGCGGAAAAGGGATTCGCAACATTTTTAAACAAGTCGATAGGATTCTCGAGAACCTTGAACATATTTTCGAGAAAGGAAATTGATAATATTTCCGAGAAGTTTGACAATTGTTGATAGCTGAAATGTTTTAATCCGCCGACCCCTTGGGGTCATCGGCGTGTGAGATGCTTCCCCCCTCCCCAAACCCCTCCCCCCGGAGCCTGGTCCGGTCGTTTTGGAGGGGGGGGGGGGGGGGTCCGGCCGGATTCCCCGGGATCCGCCGGCGCGGTCCGGGGGGGGTCATCCGCTCCAGAGAGTCTGCTGGGGGGGCCGCAAACGAGCGAAGAGGCTCCCAAGAAGCTCTGCAGACGGTCCAAGAGGGCCCCGAGTCGCCGAAAAAACACTCGAAGACGGTCAAGATGGCCTCCAGATGGCCCCAGATGCCTCCAAGACGCCCCAAGAAGCTTCCAAGACGCCTCCCAAGATGGCCCCAAGAGGCCAAAATCGTCGATTTCCATTGGTTTTTTCAACGTTTTTGGCCTTCGCGTTTTTTCGGGCTTCCGACGCTCCAAGACGGCGAAAGAAGCCCCCAAGACGGCATCAAGACGACCCGAGAGGCTCCCAAGTGGGCCCCAACACGGCCCAAGAGCGCCTCAAAACGGCTCAAGAGGGCCTTCAGACAGTCCAAGAGGGCCCACAGAGGGGCCCAAGAAAGGCTCCAGACGGGGACCACGAACCTAAAATTCTAGCCTTCCGCCCCAAAAGGCGCCAAGGAGGCCCCAAGAGGCCTCCAAGAGGCTCCAAGAAGCCCCCAAGAGGCCCCCAACAAGCCCAAAAAAAGCCCCAAGCTGCCCCAAAACAGCTCCCCAGAAGCCTCCAAACTGCCTCCCGCAGGCCCCCGAGAGGATTCTCACGACGACGGCGCCAGAGGCTCCCACAACGGTCAACGAAGCCCCCAAGATGGCCCCAAAAAGGTGCCCAGCCTACGCCGTCGAGTCTGTCGCCGCCATTGTCGTCCTCGTCGTGTTCTCCTGCTCCTTCTCATCCTCCTCTTCCGCCCCCTCCTCCCGTCTCCCCTCTCAGCTTTCTGTCTCGTATTCCCTCCACTGGCTCACTTTTCACCTTCTCCGCCTTTGGCTGCTCCCCCATCCTCCCTCCTCCACGTCCCCCTTATCCATCCCGTCCCCAGCGGTCAGATTCCTCGCAACTTCCGTGCCTTGTCGCAATGCTCGTCACTTGGTTCCGCCGGGCGTTTCGGAGGGTCTCTCCGCGGCGCTCGTCCCGCTTTAAAACACTTCGCGCACACAACTGGGTTGTTTCGCTTGAAATAATTCTTCTTCTGGTCTTTCGACAAATGGCCCCCGTCTGAAAACGGCACGCCGCGCGACGGTCGTTGGCCGCGGCGGCGCGGCAGGAGGCAGGAGGAGGAGGAGGAGGTAGGAGGCAGGAGGCAGAAGACAGGAGGAGGAGGAGGAGGAGGAGTTTTTCGGGCGCGGCCGGACCGCGGACTTGCGTGGTGACGGGCCCCTGCTGTGGCGACCACCCCACCTGAGAAGCCAAGGACGGGGCAACACTAACTCGTCCAAGGCCCTGACGAGGCCGCAGCGCCACGCGGCCTTGCTCCAGACCTCGCCACGCTTCTGCTCAACGGCCCGAGCGGGAGACCATGTCTCTCCTCCCTCCTCCTCCTCCTCCTCCTCAGCGCTCAGGGCTGCCCGACCAACTCAGCGCCCTCCGACAACTCGACGATCCAAGAGGGCGACGAATCCGCCGACCCCTTGGGGTCATGGGCGTGTGAGATGCTTCCCCCTCCCCAAACCCCTCCCCCAGGAGCCCGGTCCGGTCGTTTTGGAGGGGGGGGGGGTCCGGCCGGATGCGCCGGATCCCCCGGGGGGGTCAAGACGCTGCTACGAGGCGCCCAGGACAGCCCAAGAGGGCGAAGGGCCCAAGAGGCTCCAAAGACGGCCCACAACGACTCACACTAGGAAGTGGATCGTTCGACCCCATCTGAAGAAGAAAGAGGAGGGCCCCAACGACTCTCCTGGTACCACTCGTTCGGGACATTCAAGACTCCAGCCCCCCTGGCGGACGAATTGGAAGGAAGAGAAGGGAGAGGAGGAAGAGGAGGAGACGAAAAGAGAGGAGGAGGAAGAGGAGGAGAAGAGGAGCGCTCCAACGTCGGACTCCCCAAGAATACGAGGGGTCGACGGTGTGGCGTAAGCCCGAGAAGCTCGATTGAACGCCGCGCACCTTCAGTTTATTGACAACTGGCATAGCTGATTAACAGGAGGCTCCCAAGACGCCCCCAAGAAGCCCCAAAAGGCCTCCAGGAGGGCCCCACAAGGCCCCAGAACGGCTCCCAAGAGGCTTCGAAACTGTCCCACGAGAAGCCCCCCAAGAGATCCCGTTACACACGCAAGAAAGCTCTAACCCATGACCCAGAGGCCCATCTCAGTGTCCCCTCCTCCCCCTCCTTCTCCTCCACTTCCTCCTCGTCCCCCTCCTCCTTTTCCTGTCCGCTTCACCTCATCCTCTTCGATGTTTCTCCCCGCCATCCTCCGCCACCCCCCCCATCCTCTTCTCCCCCTCCTCCTTTTCCTCCCCAGTACGCGCGTCCGATTGGACATCATTTGCATGTCTTGCATTTCAGGGTGCCCTTCTTTGCGTCGCAGTGTGAACGCGACGTCGTCCCGCATTGCCGTCCAGGGCCCAGAGGCTCCCAAGACGTCCCCAAAAGGGCGCCAAGACGACCCACGAGGCGCCCAAGTCCATGGGCTCGCTCCGGAGCTCCAAAACGACCCCTGAGACCTCCCAAGAAGGCCCACAGGCAATCCAAGAGGACCCCGACGCGCCAGAGAAAGGAAGAAGAACCAAAAAAAAAAATGATCGACCAAGATGACATCCAGACCACTCATGAACCCCTCCGGCCGCCTCACAGAGCCTCCAACAGAGCCCCTCCCAAAACCGGCGATCGCCCCAGAAAAAAAAACAAGGGGTCGGCGGATGTGGCGTAAGCTTGAAGAATCACGATTTGATAATATGTTCAAGAAAATGAATCTCGTCAAGCATCTCGGTAATTTCAAATGTTGTTTTGTATGCTAATTTTCTTAATCGCATTGGACGAATACGACGAGAATGGGGTCGTCTCTTTCTGAAGTAGTCCACCGGAACGCATCTCACGAATGCGCGCACTCAACATGTGGTTCACGAAATCCCTTTGTCTCCATTTTCGCAAATTTTGGAGCACGCGGCGCCGGACATCGTCGACGTAAGTGCTGCAAAAAGGTTCCAAAAAGGCGCTGCATGTAATCGACGACGTCATTGCTGTAATCGCAGTGCCGCCAAATTTTTTTCGTCGTGCGTATATGATTGCTGATTTGTTGCACACGTCGGACATGTGTGGCATCCGGAATCGTTGCGTAAACCCTTATTCTTTCTTTTTGTTTTTTGTTCCCTCTCTCTCTCTCTCTTTTTTTCTCCCTTTTTCTCTCTGTCTCTCTTTCTTCTCCCTTTCTCTCTTTCTCTCTCTGTCTCCCTTTCTATCTCTTTCTCTCCCTCCGCGAACGGCGCCCACGATGA